AAAGCGGACCCAGGTGGCTGACTTCGGTACAGACCGTGGTAGTTTTATTTACAGTGATATCAATGACAATAAATGAACAGCAGAGTAAGGCAGGCACCGGGTGTCGAGCAAGGAGATATACAGTCAGTGATGGATCTGAGGTGAAGATGACCGGACTGCGGACACTGGGTTACACTCCTGGGCTGGTCGGGTTGGATTGTACTGAAGAGAACAGGAAAGCAAACATACGGCAAGTAGAGAACTGTGCATCGACCTGTAGGTTGTGGTGGAGAAGAGTGCAGGAGGTCCGTGGTCCGAAGGAGCACCCAAGGCGAGAAGGGATAAATCCAGGCAGCTGGAGAGAAGGAGGCAAGACAAAACTAACAGAGTCAAAGGGGCGATGGGTAACAACGAGCTAGACAAAATGCTGGAAAGAACTGGCAGGGGAGTGCACGAAGAGCAGGGACTAAATAGGGAGAAACAAATCAGGTGCAGCTGGTGGTAATCTGGGGTTAAGAAACAGGTGTGAAGGAAAACGTGATCACGGTAAGGGAGTGAAAACAGAGAGAGGGGAGTGAGAAAGTCGGTGCAGTCAGGCAAACCTGACAACTACGGCTCTGATCTGTTATACAAAGTTGAAGCCACTATCAAATATAACTCCTAGGTTTGTTAGCGAATCTTTAAGTGGAGGGGCTGACACGCCTAACTTAGGGACACCTGCGTGTGGTCCGGCGCTGATCAGCATATACTCAGTTTTACTGTCATTTAGATGCAGGAAATTCTGCGCTAACCATTTCTTGATGTCTCGGATGCAGTCATCTAAAGAGGCAAGTGGATTTTGATTATCCTGTGTTAACGGTATATAAATCTGTACATCATCGGCATAAAAATGAAAGTGAAGTGGGGCGGAGCTGTCAACTGATCACCACCTGGTGGTGAGCTGGATCCGATGGCGGGGGAGGAAGCTGGACAGACTCGGCAGACCCAAACGTATTGTGAGGGTCTGTTGGGAACGTTTAGCAGAATCCCCTGTCAGAGAGATCTTC